ACAAACACACAAAAACCAGCTACACTTCACATGAATCCCATGGGAGAGGAGACACGAACTACAGGACACAAACTCGAGAGGAAGAGGTCGAGGCGGTAGAGATTTTTGAGGACATTGAGGAGGTGCAGATGTACGATGAGGCCACTATCTGGTTCAGGAAGCCCTCAAGGTTGGGTGGAAGGCCTCCGTAGAATCTAGAGACACTGGACCACAACTCGAATTCCAAAAGAACAAACTGAATGGTGGAGTTATAAACGACACCTACACAGAAATCATCAGAAAGGCGTTCGAGGAATCAATCAACATCACCGATGAAACCTGTCTTGAAGAACGCTAGAACAGGGAATGTGGAACGTGGAAGGAAACCTGTATAGACATGTTTATAGAGGAGAAGAAGAAGAAGTAGTAGTAGTCGTAGAAGAAGTGAGAGATGAATAAGGAAAGCAGAAGCTGAGTCCCACTTACAAGTCAGTGAAGAAAGTAGTGAAGAAGAGTGGTAGGAAAGACAAAAGACGCTTTGACGGGACACTGGAAAGTGAAGCAGAACAGACTGCACGTGAGCGAGGCCTGAGAACACTACGTCGGATAACCAGCTCGCTACTCGGGAAGGAATAAACTCGGGTGAATGATGTCACACATACTGAAGGAACCCCAATTAGCAGGGAAATGTAACTGAGCAAACTCTAATTCAAAATACGCTTGGATAAACAATAATAATGATGATAATGACGATAATAGCTTCCTTCTGAACAATGTTTAGATAATGTATAAACCACTACTAAGATACAGAATTACCTGTGAATATCGAGTCTCCAACAAAAACAGACACTCAAAGACCATGAAGTTACTGAAAGCCGACCGGGAAAGCAGCCGGTCCAGACGTAATTCCCTAGAAACACATATAACGCGTCCAAAGAACTCAGAGGATATAAACACGCCGCTAACATTTGGAAGGAAAGAAAGATACCTACTGGTTGGAAGAAATACTACCTTGTCAATCTCTCAAAGCAGAGAGACCTGGTCTTCTGCGAGAACTAGAGACAAATCATGCTCTTCTCCACTCCCAGCGAAATACTAAGTCACGTCATCGTAGAGAGATTGAGGGATGTTCTGGTTGCGAGACTCTACCTTGTGTACAGGCGGCTTCAAGAAGAGCATACCACGTAAGGACCATATTGCAACACCACACATCCTCTTTGAACACAATCTAGAATGACAGACAACGTTTCACCTCGAATTCATCGACTTTGATTGTCCGGACTGTTCAGTGATTTGGAAACCACTTCGACACTACAGAATGAACTTCCGCAAACGATTATAAACCTGATTCAACAGGCTTTTGATGCTGCTATATGTCAGGCAGTCGCTATTGAGAAGTTCAGTTAATTGAAGTTAGGGGTAATGCATGGAGGCTTTCTATCACTGATGATATTTTTGATTGTGATTGACTAAATCGTGGGATGAGTCGTGCCTGTGTGAGTAGACGAGCATTCGTTGGACTGACGAAAATAACCTGGAAGATCTGGGTTTCGTGGATGATTTATGTCTAAGATTGCACAAACTGGAAAACCTATGACTTCAGATGAACGTATAGGAGACAGAGTTGATGAAGATATTCATCCAACAATAACAAGCATCAATAGATATAAACGTTGGAATATAAATGAACTGGTCGCATCGTTTTACCTCCTGGTGGCACTGATGAGGTTGTCAAAGCTATACAAGATTGAATTGGGGAAGGAAATTAGTGTGGAGGTCTACAGCAATCAGCGCAAGCAAAATAATCCCATTTACAACATCAATGTCAAGTCAGTGCTTCCATTTACTCAGACATTTGGCTCACACGTCACCGAAAGCAATTTCAACGGGCTTCAGACATACAATGCATTTTCTGCTGCGATGCTGAAGATCAGATAGTCGACCGAAAATAATAATAATATAATAATAATAATAATAATTGCTTTATTCCAAAAAATTAAAAATACTCATCACATAATAGTAATAAAACGATTGTTGTAGCAGCTACGTAGCAAAATACTGTGTGCCATACGGAGAAAAATATGTATAATGTACAAAATTGTAGTAATAATAGTAATACCAACTAAATAAAATAGCAGAGTAACGATTTAAACGATAGAAAGTGTGACACCATAAAATACAGAAAGATGAACGATAAAAGGGTCGATTCACTGTGCTAATTACATAGTAACTTGTAAGTTTCACGTCTAACAGAGTCTTCGTCACATAAAGTACGCGCTAAATAGGGTATTGTAGAATTTCTATACTTAGTAGTACGAGCATATATCTTTTTATATTGACTTCTCGTCCTACCTGATGAGATACAAGGGGACAGGTGTGAATAAAGGGGGTGCAGAGGGTCTGACATTATAGCCTTTGCCCATTTCGTACAGGAATTTATATGCCTCTCGACTATAGTATTAGCGAGCTCATGCAGTGGCAGACCACAAGCTCTACTCACAGCATTTAATACTCTTCGTAATATGATATAATCTTTTTTGAGCAGCCCAGGAAAGATTAATGGAGAGCAGTAGAGTACAATAGGTAAAATACAGGAGTTTAAAAATTGCAAAACTAAAGGTTGGTTGATACCTGATTGTCTTAACTTTTTAATGTAGAAGGTAAGACGAAACATTTTCTTAGAGATAGATAAGATATGGGATGACCATGAAAGGTCAGAGGAAAAAACTAGTCCAAGGTATTTAATACTTGATTTGGTTTCAATTTCCGTGCCATCTATGCTACAGGGATCATGAGAGTTAACTAGTTCAAGTAAGTCACGTCGATGCTTGAAAGTAAAGTCAAGCACCTGACATTTGGAAGGATTTAATATTAGACCATTTGACTTGGACCAGTTGTTGATGTCCAACAGAAAGCTATTAAGTTTGGAGCTGTCAGACTCGGAAGTGATAGGCAGTGATACAGTCAGATCATCTGCATATTTGACAAAGTTAGTTTCGTTTGAATGAGGCAGGTCATGTAGGAAGAAAGAAAAAGAAAAGGAGAGAGGACAGCACCTTGTGGAACACCGGATTTTGTAAGCGAGGTAGAAGAAGATTTGCCATTATATACAGTATACTGCATTCTATCAGAAAAATAGGAATGCAACCTGGGAATTTTATCAGTCCAATGAATCAGCCAATAATTTTCTGCCCTGTGAACAATTATACACATGAAAATGGATTGGATTTATGCCTAGGTGTGGTGATTGACAATTTCTATCTCTGTATTGTTTAAATACTTACTGTTGAC